GGACCCACAGAGAAGAGAGCTGCAGAGCAGCGACCCCAGATGAGGGACTGCAGCAGAGAGATCCACAAAATAGGGACCCCCACCAGGGAGCCCCAGAACAGGGGGTGTCCAGGTGAGGCATTTAGTGCCAGGAGAGACCCAGGGCTCCCAGGAGCAGGTCTGTCCCCACTTTTCCTGTAAAGGAAGCCGATGGTCTCCTGCACCCCCTCAGCGTGGCTGTCTCAGGATGGCAGCATCCATGGGCTCCCACCTTGCTCTGAGTCTGTGTTGCTGGTGCTCTCCTGGGCCTGGTCCCCAGGCTGTGCTCCTGCAGGAAGGCGAGGCAGCCCAATGTGGGGGCACCTTTAGTGGGCACACAGGGGCATGGCAGGCGTGCTGGAACAGGCGGCTGCCACGGGCACCTGCCCCTCCCCAACCCTGCCCAGACAGAAGCCCTTTCCTCGGTATCTGCAAAGACTGGCTGGAATTCTTTAAGAGCATCTTTAAATAAACAAAGTCTAGAGAAAAGCAAACTCCCAAACACAAATCACATCTAAATAGAGTTCCACGCGGACCACGCAGAGCTTGGCCTTCGGGCCTCCCACAGGCACCTCTGCAAAGACTCCCAAGCCCAGGAGCCCTTCAGAGGCCCAGGAGCACAAATGCCCAGGTGATGTCCAGGCAAACCGTGTGGGCCCATGCTGCCCCCGGACCCTCAGCCCCACCTCCCCGGACCCCATTTCCAGGTGGCAGCCTCCCTCCTGGGGGTGGGCACGCCAGGCCTGTCCACACACCTCAGTGAGAGAAGTGGCTGCCAGGGGACCCTCTGCTTCCTTGGGGGTCTGTACCTCCACACCCTGGGGGAGTCTATCACGCAAAGCTTGAAGGATCTCCTTCCAGCTCCTCCCACCTCTGAGGGTTTCTTTACCCCACTGGGGTCGTAGTGAGCTTGAGGAGATGGCCCCAGGATCCTGTGTGACTGAGAAAGAGGCAGAGACAGCAGCACCTGGACGGGGCAGGCTGGCCCATGGCGTTGAAGGTGCCCTCCCCTGCGCTCCCCTTGTCACGTGAGGGTCTGTCTGGCCCAGAGCCCCTCAATTTGTCTGACATGCTTAGACAGGGTGAGATGAGCCCCTCAGGGACACCGGGAGTAGGGAGCTGGCCAATTCCCTCAGGCCGGCCCCATCAGGAGGGGTAGAGAGGAAGGGTGGGGGCCTCTGCTGAGTGAGCTTCTGGGGGCCAAGGGACCTGCACCCTCCCCCTCGCAGCCAGTGGCCTCAGGCAGGGCTGCACACTGGTGGGAACAATGGGGACTGAGAAGGAATGAATGACCGGGTGGCGGCGCCCCCTGCACACTCAGGCGCCCTCCTGGCCTCTCCCTCTCCCTGAGCCCAGTCCCCTGAGGCCCTCCTGGCCCCCTTGACACACTCGGTCAGTGCTTCTGCTGTCCCAGGGCCAGGAAGGCTCAGGAGGTTTGTTCTGAGGGTCACAGGAGGCCCAGGCCAGGCCACGGGACACTCTCCCAGACACAGAATTCCAAGAGCCCCGAGGGTCTTTCGACACAAGGAAGCCCCCGTCTTTGCCTCCAATGCTCTTTGAGACAAGCCATGAAAGATATCATGGTGGACGTTTGTGCATTTCCGTGTGTACACGTGGCTTTATCTCTGCCACGTGAGCCCTGAGGAGTTGTCTGCAGGACAGCCCCCTGGGGCAGGGATTGCTGAGGCCAGCCCAGCTGTGATTGGGGGTCTGGGCAGTGGGAGTGCTGAGCATACCCCACAGGTCCCAGGAGCACTCCCATGGGCTCTCTCAAGCCTTGCCCACAGAGTACTGACCCCCCGGGGGATGCTCACACCTGCAGAGGGGGCCCACCTGGCCCATCTCTCAGCACCCAGTTGGCCCTCAGCACCCTGGGGGGCAGCAGTGACAGGAAGGCAGGACTGAAAGAGGGACAGACAGCATTTCTCCTGGGGCAGAGCAGACCCCCAGGAGGGCTTCACTGTGAGGACCACTGACCCCCAGTTCCTGCAGGGCCAGCCTACGGGGTCTCCTGATGGGACAGGACGTCACTCCCCACTCACGTTTCCTGTCTGCGGACGGAGATGAGGGCAGTGAGTGTGCATGCAGTGTAGACAGCACTGGGTATAGATAACTGGGCATGTGACTATGCTGAGGAAAATGAGAGGTGGGGGCTTGGGGAGCCCCCAAGGGCTGTTGAAGGAGGAAGGGGCATAGCTAACGCCAGGCCCAGTCACCAGGCCCAGTGACCCCAAAGACTCCCCTCAACGCAGAGGGGAGTGGGGGAGGGCTTGCCGAGAGCCCCCCGCTGATTTATGGTCCTCCAGGGGGTGGGAGTTATGGCTGCTGAGGCAGGGCTCCCCCCCCCTCCTCCTCCCTGTTGGGGGTTGGCTGGGATGGGGTGGCCCTCAGCTGGTTTCCAGATGGGCCTGGCAGAGAGGGTGCCTGGGGGTGGGAGGCCAGACACTCTGTGCCAAGGGACCTGGCCAGTCAGCCGGCCAGCCATAGCCACCATTGTCTCTCTCTGTGGTTGTCTCTCCGTCTCTAGGGCTGTCTCTGTCTCTGTCACCTGCAGCCCCCCTTCCCCATGGCAGTGGGGTAGGGGGGGAGCCAGTGATTTATCACCCTCTGCCTGTCTTCCATCGGAAACACTCGGGGTGGGCGCAGACGGTGCGCTGAGCTATGGGCCCCCAGGGCCCCGCCACCCACCCCAATGTTGTTGCTCTGTCTGGGCGGCGGGTGCGCCCACCCCGCACGCAACGTGGCCAAGGCTTCAGCCTCCAGACCTTCCCAGGGCCTCGAGGACACAGGCCCCACTCAAGTCCCCAGGCTGGAGGGGGTCCACCGAGGACCCATACACAACCCCCACCCCTAGGTTGGTGGGGAGGTGGTGGAGCCTCTCTTCCACTCTCCGGGGGTGGGGGAGGGCCGCTCTAGGGCCCCCCACCTAGCATCCCAGGCAGAAGCAGCTTAGGCCAGTCCCTCACTGTCGCCCTCCACGCCAGCCTGGCGGCCGATAGTTCCCACCCCACCGTGGTGCACACAGCAGGGGCTCAATAAGTGTTTACGGAGCAAACAGGCGGCGAGAGGGCTGAGGGCGCACCTGGGCTGACCCCCCCCCCCAGCCCGGCGGAAGAGGTCCCTTATCTTCCCGGTTGACGGGCTGTCAGCGCGCCCGGGGGGGAAAAAGGAGGGGAGGGGGCGGCGGGGTCGCGCTCACCCCTCCCCGTCTGTCGGCGCCGCTTGGCGCACTCCTCCCCGCCCCCATGGGGGTGCGACGGGCCCGCCCCTCTCGGCGATTCACCCGGCCAGCCTGGGCAAGTCCCCCTCTCCTGGCCTCTGTTTCTCCGCGGACCCCAGGTGTCTGCACCCCCGGCGCCCGCCTCTGCCGGCCCTGGCCCATGCGGGCGTTTTCCGCAGTCCGCGCGCGCCCTCTGGTGCCTGCGAGGGGCCACTGGACGGGGCGTCGGGGCGGGAGGTTCCCAGCGCGGGCAGCACCCACCCATTTCACAGACAGGACACGGAGGCTCCCAGTGGGAGGTCGCGGCTGTGTCTGCCCTGGGAATGCCTTCTGGCCCTGCTGGGCTCACTCTATGCAACCCCTTGGTCAGTCACTCGTTCTCTGGGCTGCGCCCAGGCCCCGGACGTGGCTTGAGCCCCCCAGGCCAAATTCAGGGGCCCAGCTTGGACACAGGGTCCTGAGCCATGTGTTGGTCCAGGGCAGGGCCGGGAAGCGCCCTGGAGAGGACACGCTTGAGTGGGGCCTTGTGTAGTGAGGACAGAGTCCCAGCAGGAAGGGCATGCCCAGCCTGGGGACTGGCATGGCAAAGGTGTGGAGGGCCTGGACTGTCAGAGAGGAGGCACCATGGCTGAGCCTTGATTGAAGGCCGAGGGTCCTGGGAGCCCAGGGAAGCTGAGTGGGCAGTGGTATGGTCAGAGGACCCTTGGGCTGCTGGGCAAGGGGCCCTGAACCAGCCAGCCTGTGGACCGGAGGTATGGGGGACCGGGCAGGGCCTTGAGTGGACCCTGACCTGTTCCCATCTGGAAGGAGTTTGAGGCCACAGAGGGAACCTGTCAGTGGGGCAGGGGCCATGGGGCAGGTGTGTTGTCCATGAGATGGAGAACAATGCTGGGGGAGGGGCACGGTAGGCTCCTGAGCTGGGGGAGGGCTGTACAGTCCCCTCCCTGCACCAGGCCATTCAGGGGCACTGAGCTGGGACCATCCATTTCTCCACACTCCTTGGAGGCTGAGGCCCAGGGCCAGCGTGTGGAGGGTCACCTCAGGGTCAGGAGTTGGGACTGGGGGCTCCGAGGCAACCTGGAGAAGGTCAGTCAGCAAGGCCAGGCCACCACCCCACCACAGTCAGTACCTTGGCATGAGCCAGCCCAAATGGTGGAGAACTGGAAGGAGGGGAGGGGGATCCCGGAGGAACCATGGGGTTCACCTGTCCCATCCACCAGTGAGAGAGTGGGAAGTTCTTCCTTAGTTCTGACCACACTTCCTTAGTTGTGATGCCAGCCTCTTTCTTCCACCAGGGAAGCTCCAACTGCTGCTGCAGGGCCCCCATGCCCACCCTCTCAGCCAGACCTGGCCTGGGAGCCCTCAAACCTGTGGACAGTGAGCAGTGGACCTGGGCTCCTGCTGACCACTCCCCACAGCTCCTGCTGGGGCCTTGTCCCACAGGAGGGCCGCTTCTCTTAGCTTGGGGTCACCTAGGACCCCTGGACTACTTTCTCCCGGGCCCTAAATTTGCCCCCGAAGGCTACCATGAGGAGGGACGGTGTCCTGGGGGCCTGGTTTCAGCTCTGCCCCCAGTGCAGCCGTGGAGAAAGATCTGCAGCCCAGCAGGGACACCCCTCTCCGAGATCTGGTTTCCTCCTTTGAAAGTAGTGGGGGACACCCCCACCCCGTGCCACGTTGTGACTGAGTTTAGGGGCTTGCCTGTGTACCTTGTACGACAACTATTCTTCTGACCCCCACCAGGAGCTCTGGGGGTGCTGGGCTACCCCCTGGGGAAGGCAAGGTGGCAGTTCATTTGTACAAAGGTGGCCACTGTGCCCAGCATGGTGATAAGGCCAGATGGACAACCCGACAGTAGGCCGCAGCCCACAATGGGCCGGATGCCCCACACCTGCCCACAAAGGAGGGGCCGGCTCCTGCCTCACGTCCGACCGGCAGCCAGGAGATAGCATCAGCCCAACCAAAGAGCCATCCGTCTTGTCCCACAAAGGACAGGACAAAGGCCGTGTCAACGGCAGCCTCCCCCATCCGGTCAGTGGGGGCCGGGGGTCTTCCTGCGCCAGGTGGCAGGGGCCCAGGCATGAGGCTCCTCATTAGAGTCCTGTTGGGGGTCCATGGAGAGCAGCCTTCACTGTTCACAGGGCCAGCCAGGTGGGGGCCACACCTAGGGTGGGAGCGGAACCCTGATGGAGAGGAAAGCATCCCCCCCTCATCTGGGCACCCCGGGACACTGTTAGCAGCCTATACCACACTGGGGCACCCAGGGAAGAGCCCCAGGCCCTGGCTGCTCGACCTGGGTTCAGGGGCAGGACGGGGGAGACCAGGGACTGAGCGCCCTGAGAAGCCCCTGGCTCTGGGCAGTCAGAGGCGCCTTCCTGCAGGAAGCGGCAGCTGGGTGGAGGATGTGACTCCAGACCAGGCAACCCCCTGGGGCCCACTCACCCCGGCAGGGATTCCACGGGCCCCACCGGCCCTCCAGAGGCCAAGCTTCTCACTCACATGCCCACGGAGTTCCAGGTGGGCCACCAGACTGGCCTCACTGTCCCCACAGCATCCTCACTGTCCCCAAGGCGTCCTCATAGTCCCCAAGGCATCCTCACTCCCCACGGCGTCCTCACTGTCCCCACGGCATCCTCACTGTCCCCACGGCGTCCTCACAGTCCCCACGGCGTCCTCACTGTCCCCACGGCGTCCTCACTGTCCCCACGGCGTCCTCACTCCCCACAGTATCCTCACTCCCCACAGAGTCCTCACTCCCCACAGAGTCCTCACTGTCCCCAGAGTCCTCACTCCCCAGAG